CCTCTCACTTACGTTCTCCATCTTCCCCTCCCCCTACCCTTGATTTCAAGACTCCTACTAGATATGCCACTGAGGGAAACAATACATGCATGCAAAGGAGTAGGGATGAAACTAAAAACACCAGGGACGGCTAGAACAATATATAACTGCATTGACCTCGATATGGGTCAAATAAACAGATGCAACACACTACTATTGCTAACCAAAATTAATTTCCTAAAATTAAATATAAACCTTCGAAAACATGCAACACAATGTAAGAGCATGCAAAGTTCAAGAAAAAAAGGTAATCACCCTCCCACGCTCAGACAGATAATAAGATACTTACCAGGCGGAATGACTAATGAAAGAGTGTTAATGGACGCAGACTTGGTGACGGAAGAGCGAGACCTTCGACTATCTGATTTTGGTGTTGATACACAAGGCCATTCTACCATGTCCTCCTCCAGCGAGATGGAGAACTTGGGTAAAATGTCCTTAAGACTTGGCTTTCGCATCAATCGACGCCGAGTTCTTGGAGAATTTTCAGTTGTCTCGCTCGTTGAAGAGTCAGTATTTGAACTACGTAGCATGCTACTTCTAAAAATAGAAAAAGACATAATTTTTTTTAAATAACATGACAACAATACAATGTGTATAATAATAATAATAATAATCGATTGTTCTGCTGTAGGCCTAGGAACGCCCCAGAGTGAGTGAGGTTAACAGACATGGCTGTTTTATAATGTATATTCAATAACCAGGAAAACAATTAAAATAGTGTAGTTGATGGCACCAACGCTACAAAAAAACCCACACACAAAAAATTCTGTTATATTTACTATATGAAGTTTGTAATCGAAAGAATAGGTAGTATTATATAAGTGCATTAATACCCAAAAATTATAACTACAATTATAGCTAATTCCTAAATTATTGACTTACAGCTTTGGTGAATTTGGGGCAGAATTATCCCGTTTCACAATTGAGTCATCCTTTAGGTCTGATGACACGTCTAAATCAGTATCATTGCACGAATTCGCCCGCTCTCGCTTTTCAGAATCGTCTGATGACTGTGATAGGCTACTATAAGACTTGCTGAACCGTGGCGATAGGGTAGAAAAATGAGAGTACTCTGGAAACTCTTCATCATCATCATCATCTGAATCTAATGTGTGGTTGTATCTATCAGATCGTGCTGTGAAATGAGTATATGTTAATTTTAAGTATACAATCTATTAAATATTTTTTCATAACAACAATATTTTTATATGGCTGGTTCTTGAAATAGACTTTATTGAGAATTAAAGGCAATGATAACCAGAGTGCATTTTATAAAAAACATAAGATTATTAACTCTAAATCAAATGAAGATTGGTCAACAGACATCTCTACTAAATGATAATAATAAAAAAAATTGTTGATGAAGAAGAAAAACAATTTGAAACAGCCTGGGCTAAGCCAGCCTAAATGGGACACATTTGTTTTGTCTCAGATAGACATAATAATAATATAAATAATAATAACAATAATAATAATAATAATAAATAGAAAAAAAAACACACACACTTACTGTCAAAGTAACTTGTATCATCTTCCCCATCAAGAGCTGGTATGAACTCAGCTTTCTGTCTTAACAGTGACGTCCAATCAAGATCCTCAAAGAATACATGACCTTTAACCTCATGAGAGCCACCTGTACCTAACCGACACCTGGGCTCTTCATTTAACAGCTTGGTTATAAGGTCAACAGATTCATGAGATAACATTTCTTCCTCTTCTGGCCATTCTAACTGAACTGTAAATGCAATCAATTAGGAAAGCATATTAGTTTTGAAGTTATAACAATAACTAATGCACAAGTTATATAATACATGGTGAAATAAACTGTCTTTATGTGCATTATACAATAAATAATGCACAAGTTATATAATACATGGTGTAATAAACTGTCTTTATGTGCATTATACCACTACATCAAATACCCATGGAACACATCCTAGGCCCATTGGGGGCACAGGACCACCAAAATTCCATAAGCAGCTAGAGTATTCGGTACTGTACTCTACCAGGTACATCCTTATACTCTTGGGTGGAGACAATAGGTTGAGTGCTTAATTGTGCAAGGTACATGTGAAATGCAGAGCAAGACCCCAGACATCAGGTTTAAAGTTGAAAGCCTTTAACTGCAACCACTTCACCACAGCCACTACCACCACTTAGGCAATGTTGACTGTTGTACGCACTTAATATATGCAAGTAAGAAAAATATATTTTGGAATGGGTAACGGAAAAGATGAGATGTACTCGTCCTTAACAATGTTTTGTAAGGTAGCTAAAACTGCATAATTAAACGATTCATACCATTGACTGCTTGTAGGAAAAGCTCCTCTGCCGTGTCTCCGAAAAACGGCGGACATCCTACCAGAAACTCATAGAGACAGACACCCATCGACCACCAGTCCACGGGTTTGCCGTACCCCTGTCGTAGTATCACTTCCGGAGCTATGTACTGAGGTGTTCCACACACCTGCTGGTCTTTGAACTGTGCAGTATCTTTGTCAAGGGAGTCCTCAAATAGATTGGTGGTTACTAAGAGGAGAGAAATAAAAAGTTATGTTATCAAATGGTGTTGTGAGTCAGGGAGGGGTTCAAGATTCTTTAATTTATTTTGGTCTTATTTGTTTCCTTCACATCCAACAGCAAGTACACTCACTACCTACAGGATGGGACGATGCTTTATAAACTAAGTTTCTTTCATGATAGCTTAGGGGATAGAGCTGTTTTTAGTGACAAGGTTTGATTTGATTGTGGTATAACCTTCAAATGAATTTGGTATAGAATTGTAATTGTAGCAAAATATTTTTAAGAATGGTTACCTATGGCAGATCTAAAACTATATATATATATATATATATATATTAATTATCACCATATGTTCTTCTTAATTTTTGGATTGTGGCGAAATTTTGAACTGAATTTGATAATGAATTGTGGTTGAAAGCTAAAAAAATACTTTTAGAATGGTTTATTAGCATGTCTAAAATGAAAATGTTTGTGAATATGGAATTGAGTTACCTCTTTACACCCCCTAGGTTACCTCATTTAATTTACACCTCTTCCATGAGTTATTCATTACTTGACTCATTTAAAGTGTGCTATATATGATTCATTATCAACTGATTCACTTAAGGTCGATTAGAAGCCATTTAAATTTGAAAGATTTGATGGCTGCACGCACCTATTCTGACAACTAATGAGTGAATGTAAAATTATCCTCAATAACATTTAATGATGTTGAGGTTACATAAATACTGAAGGATAAAGAGCATCTGTTATATGCATGATTGAAAATCTTAAAACCCTTATAAATGGTCTCCCTCATATGTTTAAAGTGACTTTTACTACAGACTGGTCTAGAGGCCTACATGGAAGATAATAAATTATGTTTTCCTGTGTAAACATATTCTGATGGTCTGTACTTGTTAATAATTTTGGTGTATGTTGTATAAGTAAGGACTTTTTCACTTTTCTTGGACCTCATTATTGGAAACGAGTTACCCTTAATAATGCACTAAAATCTTTACGTACTTTTGCTAAAGTAAAGTAAACCCTTGATTCCCTGGGTGCCTGGAGATCATCTGAAAATATTTTCAGTAATTTTGTGCTGTCAAGCTGTGTTCTGTTGTTTAATGTTTGATTATTGTTGTAACATGTGAAATGAAAAAAAAAAGAACAGATTGTTATTAGGATGATGACTGAATACACCAAATCCCATAATGGTAGTGTATCTTTTCTATAGAGTACATGACAGTCTGTCTTATATACATTATATATTATATTATATAATTATATATATATATATAATATTATATATTTTTTATTTTATTTTTCTTCATTACAAGGACCTTGTTATGCTTTAATAACTAAGTTTCATAATGAGGATTAGGGATTTCTGTCACAGGAATTGAACCCAGCACCCTGAGATTTGAAGGCAAACAAATACCAACTAAGTCATTCAACTACAATCCGAACACATATACAATTACAGTATAAAATTACAGTTTCATTATTCTACTTACAGCTCATAATTCCCATTCTAGACAATCCAAAATCTGTTAGTTTGATGTGTCCAGTAGAGGTTATCAAGAGACTATTGGAAAGTAAAACAATGAAGAATAAGAAATCATTAAAACACATAGAAACATAAAAGTATTATTATCTAAGATGAACAATATTGTTTAATATACACAAATATACTTGACATAACAATAATACAGAACAATTCAGAATTAAAATGATTACAGTAGATCAAAGCATAGTGGACGTGCACAAAAATCCAGTGAGATGGAAACTCTTTCGTCCAAAAGAAGATTTATCATGAGCTTATTAATAGTTTATACATATATTTTGGAATTCATTTATTTTACTAATAAAATAGTTTGCAGTGCCAGAAAGGCTAAACAAATTAAGACTAAGAAAATATATGCAAACTAATTTTTTACTTACTTATCTGGTTTGATGTCTCTATGTACAATACCATAACTATGTAAATATTCTATGGCCAGCACTGCCTCCGCAAAATACAACCTAAAAGGGAAAAAAACTGTCATGTTAATTTTAAAACAATGAAAAGAGACAGTGCCAATTCATTTTGGGTCAATGAAATACAAAATGGCCTTTCATTTTAAATTAAAATTACATTTTTTTTTTTACATTTAAGCAAAGGATATATCCTTATGGGATAACCTGCAAATAGACTAGGAAGAATACTTGAATGAAGTTAGCTGACAGACATAGCCACAAAGGCAGGAAATATCTTTACAATGTTGATCGGTAATCAGTCCCATGGCCAGGAATCTATTTTAAGAGAGGAGAAGATGATGGATTAGGGAAGGCTGGCATAAGTACCTGGTACCTATTTAACTCAACCCCTGCAGTAAATGTTATTGACACCCAATAAGGGGAACAAAATCTAAATGCTTTATAACTTTGATTAGGAAACATATTAGGAACAGTAACCTAATGGATTCAGTGAGTGGAAGTAGGGGCAGATAACTGGCACTAAACTGTCTATTTTAACAATTTGTAGCATAGAATGGGAAAATGCTTTATCTTATTTTTTTTTTTTTGTATATCTAGGTAGTAGTGTACCTGATGATGGCTTTACTGATAATGAAAAGTGAAGTGGTATACACTTAATTTATTTACTTTCTTTTTATTTTGTAGTTTAAAGACGTACTATGACTAATAGTCATGAGGTAAAAAAAAATAAATTTACATTTGAAGTGCTTAATTTGTATACTTACAGAAGTTATTAACATTAAATAACATAATTTGAATTTAAAAAAATTCCCTTATGAATTTAGTCATTTATAGTAATTTTACTGTATTCTTTTGCATAGATCTTCAAATTGGCTGGTAATCAATGTAAGGATATTTGTAGTAAAATGTCTGTAAATTGGTGAAATCTACTTTTTTTTTTATCTGTTTTTATTTATTTGATCGTTACAAATGAGCAAATTTTATTGGAGTTTGTAAGGTATTTTCCTGTATTTTTGATGGAAATAATTTTTGACTGATAGTACATTTTCAAAGCCCATCAACAGTGCAAGAATTGTAACAAAGTATGCTAGAAAAGAATGTTCAGTGCAGTTATTCAAAATGTTGACCACATGGTTAAGAACCTAAATGCAGATGTCCCAAGTCTCGCACAAATTGGAATTGCATGCTGCCTTCAAAAACCTCATGTACACTAATCAATCGCCAGTAAATTCATGATATGAACACTTCCCCAAAATTCATTACAGAACTCATCCACATAGAAGCGCATAAAAGAATCTGAGATCAATCTTAGAATTTCTTTTAGCACACTCTGTACGACCACCAACGCAGTTTTATGGAAGTCGGTCATTTCTCTGTACCTCGGTTGCCCTTTGGAATGACTTACCAATTGAAATTCGACAAGCAACTATAACATGAACACATTCAAACAACATCTCAAAACACACCTTTTAATTTATATTTTGTTTAATTCCGAATTTTTATTTCAAATGTGACGCACATTGAGGCTTTTACCAAAGTGCATACAATCAAGATTAAACTGTTGTTGTCATTTTGAACTTAAGACTCTCTGTTAATATAGAAACAAGTCTCTCGGAAGTCACAGGAGTCTCCCAGAAATCAGGACGGCCTCCACCATCTCTCGCAAATTTGATGATATTTGCATATTTTTACTACTTTAATATTAATTGTCTTACGGAAGTCAGCGCTAATGGGTAATCACCATGTACAGCAAAATAAAATTAATTGAGGCATGATGTGGCAAAATGGCTAAGTTGTAGCAAAAATTAAAATTCAAGTTATTGGTATTTTAAGATACCTGAGTATGTGATCTTTAAAATGAGAGGTCATTCATTAAAATTGGACATTTCAAGCCTAAGTTATTGGAAAGTGAAAGTACAAAACTCTCAAGATAAACATGATTTTGAGTATAAATTACCTTCCAAAGTTATTTCTGCATACATTGTTTAATAAAATTAACTATCTAAATAACATTAGATAAACAATTTTTTACCACTTCCAGAACTAATACTTTGGGACATGATTAAGATATAAAACTGTTGACCTATAGTGAAAAAAAATTTGGATTTTTAGGCAATTTTTTGAGCTCCCATATTTTATAGCTCATTTACTCAATACTCCATGGCCTGTGCAACAACTTAACCATTTCGCCACGACATGCTTCAATTATGTTGAGAAAGCTCATTTAAAAATATGTCACGGAAGAGATTTCTTCCAACTTGGGACCTCTGAAAAGGTAGTAGTTCATCCATTTTGTGAAGCTTACATTTGGGAGCTGCCAATTTGGTGTATCTTCTCTTACCAGTAGGTCAACTGCAAAAGTGCAACTGGCAGTGTTCTGTTGATCTTCGTGTGCATATAAATTTTTATCTTTCCTTGCATGTACATAGTTTTTCCCTTGCCATGTTAAAGTGCTGTAAACTTTCATATCGTATATAAAACTAACCTTGCTACCCACACAAATTTATCATTTAGTTGTCATTCCATTAAAATGTTTTCCAGAAGCAGGCAAAACACCAGATTCTGTAGTCACTCAACCAAAAAATTGAAATACTTCCTTTCATAATTAAATTAGAATAAAAATATTAAATTTGTCAACTACTGATGTTTACTTCCATACAAAATCAGACCACTACTGCATGAAAAAAATTTAGATTCTAAACCGAGGAGGAAAAAAATCCTTACCTTCAATCTTCATAGTGATTTGCTTATAGCATATAGAAGGTTTAATTCAGTTTATACATACAATAATGTCTAAATAGAATAAGGAAACGTCGAAGACTGGTGCAACAATAGCTACTTCCTTTTAAATATGGTCAAAAATATTGAAAAATATATACCTGGCAGTATCGAATGGTAAAACACCAACATTTTTAATAAGCGTGGCGACGTCACCACCTTCTACATACTCCATTACAAGGCATAAATGTTTCTGTGGAACATGGAAAAAAATAAAGCCATTATACAACAGGCAGATATTGAACAAATACCAATAAAACCTTCAACAGAAGAAGCCCACTGGGCTTCTTCTTGAGAAGACGCCCATCTTCAATTGAATCCTCCCTCTTTAGTTTGCAAAAGTACCCCCGAAAAGAAGCTCATCTGAAGGATAGCGTAACGTGGGTTTCTTTTAGAGATAGATTCTTTTACAGACAATGTACATGAATTTTAAAGAAACTAAATAAAAAGAAAAACATGTCTTGGTTTTAACAGTAGTTTAGGTGATTTATTGCCGATTAATACACTCCATGATAAAGACTAACGTTAAAGTGGCCCTATTTATCATTTAATAGTAGTAGCGATGGTGGTTACATTTGTATCAAAGATGGTGCATGACGATGGTGATGATGATGATGATATTGATAGTAAACCAAAGTTTACAGCATTCATTTTTAAAAGAAGCCCCACCTCTTTACTTTGCAAAAGTATTTTCAAAAAGAAGCCCATCTCGAAAAGAAACCTATCCGAAGTTTGCAAAAAAAGAAAAAAATTAAGGTCAGGGATTCTATTTGAGGTTTTACGGTAATATGATCTTTTAGAAAGTATGAATTCAAGGGCATGCCCACATTAAATCACTACATGTGTATCAATCAGCTAGGGTAGCTGGCCTATATAGTTCATGAAAACCTAATAATTCCAAGGGGACTGATTCTAGAAGTTAAGGCTCAGAAGCAATGCCCAATAGGAACTTTTAAAGCAATTGTTATCCGCTAAACTTGGTAAACATATACCATACATTTTTAACTTGACCTATTTAATGCATATGTTTAAAACTACTGCACACCAAATAATAAAATGAGTTATCACAGATGGGATCTGAGTTTTGTATGTTGCTAAAAAATATTTGCAAGCTAAGTGCCCACTAATATGTCAAAGTTTGCTAAATCTAATTAACAACATCTAATTGATCAATCTTTCAACATTTGCAATTGTTATGTTTCATAAATAAAAGAAGTTTAAATGAAAATTGATGATACAAACAGGGTTCTTGCGATAGGATTAACGGGCACACAGTACAAAATTTTAGTTTCAGGTTGACATAAACAAGAACAGGAAACGACCTTCGTCTCTAAATGCGCCACAAAGGAAGACCTTACATCCTGAGTGAGATGTTGTTTACGAAAATCAATTAAACTAACCTTGGTCTCAAAACTGCAGTACATCCCCACCACAAACGGATTCTCCGCAAACGAAAGAATGTCCCGCTCGGCAAACACTTGTTCCACTTGGTTCCTTAGCAACAGATTGTGCTTGCATATTTTCTTCATTGCAAAGCGCTGTTGTAATCTCTTGTGTTTCACTAGATACACAGCCCTGGTGGCAACAAGAACAAAAGGTCAAATATTAAAACCAAAAATAATGATGTCAAGTGTATAATAATAATAAAATCTTTCTTTAACAACGGAAGCTCTTCCACCAAGGTAGTGTTCTTCCAAGAGGCTGTATACATACAAAACTTTTAACTATAAAATGTACAACTAAACAAGAACTACTTACAAAAAATTAATTAATTAATTAATAAAAAGGAAAAATAGAAAAGCTTAACACCAACAAATCGAGAATACTACCAAAAAACTGTACCAAAAAATTATGTTCAGATTATCTTTGTAAACTTTTAAGAGTGGTATTATTTTTTGTGGTCTCATCAATATTGTTCCATGAGTCAGCCCCACAATATGCCTACTTCATTTTCTTAGACTCTGTATTAGGTTTACCTAAGTAGGTTATTTGTAGATCTAGAATTGTATGCTGATTGCCTTTGCGAAAATACATTTCTTAAATAATTTGCAGTTAAGTCATTCATTTCTCATTGAAGGAAAGCCTATGTTCAAGATTGGAACCTTTACAATTGACAATATATTTCATGACATAATTATTTGTATTATAATAAGGAAAATATAAAGAATAAATAAAATTTAAGTGAATATTATATGTGAATGTTGAAATAATCAGATGTGTAATATTGATTTTCCTCACTCCTTAAATTCAAATAATATTTAATGTAAAATAAACATGTAATTAAGAATTCGATCAAACTATGGGACTGAATACTTATTATTAAAGATGATCCTATGGGAATGAATAATTATTATTAAAAATGATCATATACTGTAGGTAAAATTAATAACAATAATAATAATGGTCGACTTATAGAGAGCATATCATAGACTTCTATGCACTATATAAGAATACAAAAAAAGTAATAGATTCAAGAGATTCAAGAATTTCATTGCTTCGAATGCCATCGAGGGCTATTATCCACTCATTAACAAATAGCAATACAAAATCAACACAATAAATATCTTACATTATTAGTTAATACTTAACTAATCCTACTTCTTAAACTAAGCATGGTTTGGCCGTTGGCTCTGTGCAGTTCATCTGCCCTTTGAGGCATAAAACATACAGTAAAAAGAATAAAAATAAATGAATAAAAAAAACACAATAATTATAATAATATTCTGCAACTTATTTGTACCGTAAGTAATTTCCTACATTTATATTCAGAGGTACAGTATTTTACACATTTATTGCCTGAAATAGACAAACTGCATACACTGAAAATTAAAACTTATTGTTTTTAAACACAACTATAATAACTGCATAAAATAAGATTCAGAACTCATATATATTGTACAATGTGTATAGTATACTGAGTTATGGGATTGATTCCTTACCCATAGGCTCCGTTACTAATGATTTTCAAATTTTCAAAATCCTCTTCGCTTGGCATTTGTAGGCTATTCCTTCTCTTGTCACCATCCTGGGAATATGGGTAATAACGATAATGGTTTAATAAAAAGCACATGAAATATGTATATAGTCATTCATTCAGAAGGTTAACGTTACCCATTGGACCTGCCATCTTAGATTTAGCATTAAATACTAAAAAATATTCTGACATGTCAAAAGAAAAAAAAAAAAGGGAAAAAAAAAATTCTAAGCAGTTTTTAGGTAACAACCATTAAAAAGTTTGGGGCTAGCCTCTGATATTGATATGAATTTATGCTGTTCCTAAGAAGCTTCATCTTCTTTAAAAACAATGGGTTCAAAAAAATGAAACTGTCATACATGTGGAGTAACTTCTGGTCCCTAAAATGAATATATTCTTCTTCTGTCTGCCATTCATGAAATTTATACGAGATCAGTAATATTCAATTATTTAAATAAGAAAATATATTTCCCTTTACATATACAAAGTAGGCAATTCAAGTGTTAACACAGCATAAAAATATATCTTTTTTTTTTTCTAATTTTAATAGTTGAACTTTATTCAAATCAAAAAATAGAAGCTATAAATTAAAACACTGTATTATTAACAGCCTTGTACCCCATAACTTAATCCGTAGTTGGGCTCTTCCTGCAAATCGCATCAACAGACACTTGAAATAAATGCCACGGTGCCCTTCACCGTGGACTCTGTCCTGTAGTTTATCTAAGATGTGTCCTTCCTGTCCTTATTCTGCATACTCGAATGATTTTGCAAGTTTCGTGAATGTTAAGAATTTTCGTATGGAGCCTTGCGTCCACCAACGTAAAGGCAATATAACTGGGCATAAGCAAAATAATAAATTTTGCACCCAACAAGATATCATGCCCAAAGACCTCCGATACATAGCTGACGCTATAATCTGAGCTACGTTGCTCAATTAGTATAATTCCCTGAGGTACATCTTATTTGGCCAATGATTTCTGTGCGTGCGCATGGATGCGCAACTCAAAAAATAAAATAAGTTCAGAATTTTAAGACTTTTGTATGGATGGAGTATGGTCCCCCAACAACAAGACATAATACAAATTGAGAGAAAAACAAATATTGAAACTCCTATTATTTTCAATCAATAAACATGAAAAATGTGAAAGTGGTGTTGTCAAAAAATAGCCAATTGTTGTAACAGTGAAGGACCAGAAATCATAATGATTAAATTATCAGAACTACATTGAAATTATAAAACTTATTTTTACAACTGGTTAAGCTTAGTATATGTATTAACTAACTAACCTGTTCTGGACTGCTTTCACCACCACCATTTAGCCTCTCTTGTAAACACAGACTTGTTGTCATTTCTGAATTATACAAGAATTTCAAACAATTTGAGATTCTGAACTTCATTTTTGAAATCAAATAATTTTTAATAATCAATGAAAAAAGGCCGGACAATCACAATATATAGCAGTCTCAAGCATAACATAAGACCAGATAATAAGGAAGTTTGCCATTTAAAGACACAACTTTTTGAAAAGTTTAAAGTTGACTCAATGTGGGGGCGTATTTAAGACCTGGAATTTTACAACTTTTTCCTCACTTCTATAAATAACCAATACATTGCCGCAATACTGTGCAATGGAAATCAATATATTTTGGCATTTTGGGAGCCACATGTATTATTGTGATCACAGGTATTTTTAGAATATGTTTATAATCATAATTTCTTAATTGCTTTCTTTATCTCAATAACAGTATTAAAGACATCATATTTTAGCTACTTTTTAATAAGAAATTCTTCTGGTAGGAATTTTATAGATTTAAAAAGAAAAAGGAATTAAACATACCTATACAAAAGAAAACATTTTAAAAAATACAGAACTAAAAGATTGCCTAAAAAGCCTGAGCTATTCGAGAGGTTTTTTAACTGTATTTTGCTTGGAAATAAGAGGCAAAACACAAACGAAAGACACAAAAAACCTCTAAAAATCTCAAAGACAAGCTTAAATTTCTTTCTATTAATCATATATTGTGGCATTATGGGAGAACCAATATTTTTAGAATAGGTTTAGACAGCCAAAATGTCTTAATATCTTTCTTTGTATAGCATGCATCAAAAGCACAAATCCACAAACAAGATGAAAATTGGTTAATCTTCATCTTTCATATATTATATTGATAATGGTTTTTTTTTCATGTTCCAAATGTTTGAAACTTTTATGTGATGTCTTGTTTTTGAAGATAGAATAAAATATATATATATATAATAAAATTCTTTCCTCAAATCCCAAAAATCTTGAAATACCGAAGAAACCAAGTGATTATAAGCACAAAACAATTATCAACAAACCTAAGGGATCTTTTGTAAGACCAAGTTGATTGATGATGTATTGCGGGACATCATCAGTTACACCCTTCTTAGCGTGTCCTTCAGCTGCTTGTAGGAAATCATAAAACCTTTCGGGATCAAACTCCTGGGGAAAAGAGCATTTTTCTCTCCAAATAATAATGTACATTACTGCAAACAGTTAAATGTATGTATCAGCAATTAAATTCATTTGTGGCAAAGACAAGCCAAACCAGTCACTCGTCGCAAAAATACAGTGTTGGAGAGTAAAATAATAGCTATAAAATGGTAAAAAAATCATTCAAATCGGACATTTCCTTATGAAGTTACAAGCGTTTAAACACACAGCTGTTTAAAGAACTATATATGAGAAATCAGCCTTCAAAGTTTATGATTTCTGTCTCTTATACACATATAGATGTGTATAAGGAGACAGTTAAAAATGTTGTTTTAACATTGCACATTGGGAAAATAACAGCATAGAATAATGTGTAGGTATATAAAGGTTAGTTTAGTGCAATAAAATAGATTTTCAAAAATTTGACATGCCAGCATGATTTGGCCATTTTCTCTGAAAGACGATTTGCGACGAGTGACTAGTTTGGCTTGTCTGTGCCACAATTACTGGACAATTATAATACAAATTAAATAAGTGTCTATATAGGTATGTTTTTGGTACGGAAATTTACCCCTCCATCAGGGATTGTAACATATACAGAGTAACCCCTACATTAAGTATGGTAACATTTGTTATGGAGTAACCCTTCCATTAGGAATTTTTGGTATGAAGCAGTATGTAGTTAAAGGGACATCTATACTTTCATTATGAAAAGAGTACAAAACATATGCTTTAGGGGGAAAAGAGGGGGTTGAAAGTGTACACATATGTATTCTTTTATGAAAAATATAAAACAATGATCTCAATATGACAAAAATCAACATTCTATGTTTTGTACTCTTATTATGAAAATGATGACAGTAATATATGACCCCTAACCTCTCGATTAGGAATATTAACTTGAATACAGAGGTATTCTGCTTCAATAATTATCTTGTCTAATAATGGCTTAAACTTCTAGTACTTACAAGACATTCCAACAAACGGGCTGGCCTTGAAATAATTATTAATAATTCGCGCATGGTTTTGGAAAATGCTTTGGCAGTACTTTGGGATCGACGAGTAGCCTAGAAATTAACAAAAATCAAGAATTATAAGATGGGTTGAGTTTATTTTGAGATACAGTGAACATCAATATACACACCACATATTTATTTAATAAACAATCAAATAACTGATTTTTAAATTTATAGATCTTAGCATAACTTTTCTTATAGTGTTCTATAAGCTGAGATGGGGTATTTAACATGTTGGCTGCCAGCAACAAGTATACTCGCCCACAGGGTGTTGCTGGGGGTGCCAGGGACAAGTATACTTGTCAAGATCGGGGGAACACTCTAATGTTTATAACTTGTTATACATTGTAGAACCACACCTAGACGATAATGAACAAATGACGTATGTATGTTTGTTGTGTTATGTTGCCGGTAGTACAATTGAGTGGCACAAGTGGGGGCGCGCTTTGAACATATACCAACCCATGCATAGAGTGGATGAGATAAATCGCACTTGGCAGAGTCAATAAATGTGGTATCACAATGCAGTCGATGAGTTTATTCATCCCCTAATATTTTCCCGCCAATTTGTTAGACACATCATTTTTATGGTATACTGTATATGATGAAATAACATTTTAAAAAAGCATGTTTGTACATGTAAACTTGTTTTGGCACATGGGAAGGAACCTTAAAAAAAGGTCTGGCAGTCAACGTGTTAAGATCCAGCATCACATAGTAATCATAAGCAACAGAGTTTACAATCATTAATTACAGTATAAATATATATAGACTTATATAAAGTTGAACAGATTGTTAAGATATAATTTCATTCAACAATCTACCTTAATGTATGTTTAAATATTCAGAGCTTACACAGTATGTAAATCAATTAATTATGCTTACCTACAGATTATAAATTGTACACTTTGTATTAATCATTAAAATCAAATTAAAATTTAATTTATGTGATCGCATTCGGAGCTCACTTATGTTTTAATATCACTAATTATAAAAATAATTAGGCCTACCTCTTCTATTAACTTATTCAAATTCTCTGTTAATTCCACGAAGTACAGTGACGAGATGTGACCTTCCTGCGACCTGTCAAGGCAGTTTCTGGCTTGTTCAATTATCTGATGTACGAGAAATGTATACACTGCATCCCGGCTCTCTTTCTCTTGTGAATATTCCTCTATGAATTTCTAAAATAAAAACATGAGAATAAAATACATATTTCTATTATTTTGTGTATTTTTACTGTTATTCAAAATTTATGAAAAAGGGATTGGCTTCTTCTATACATATCATGTTCTTTTTCAAAATGTTTTTTTCTTAATGTTGAGAAATTTAATACAGAAAATGGAACAATTTCCAAATTGGCACAATGTTAATATTAATTAAAGTTGACTTGTAATACAACATAAACATCTTTTATGATATTTCTAATATAGGAAAAAGGAGTATAAACTACATATTATTGTTTTGTGTATTTTTACGGTTATTTGAAGTTTATGAAAAATTGATTTGGTTTTTTTAAAAATTGCATGTTTTTTTTTCAAATTTTTTTAAATGTTGAATAAACTGAATACAGAAAACGGAACAATTTAAAAATTGGCACAATGTTAGTATTAATTAAAGGTGACTTGTAACGAAATATAAACATCTTTTGAAGTTTAAAAAGGAAGATTGATCAAATCTTTCATGAAATGTTAAATAACTTTGACATGTCAAATAAACCAAAATTACTCAAGGAAACCTGATAATAGCAACATCATCTTAAAGATTGTCGATACATTTCGATTTTGAGGCTGAAAATATTGAGAAAATACAGCAACTCTCCTGACAAATATAAGCCAGTAACAACAATCAAAAACATCAACCACATTCATTCTACACAGTGTGTTGAAAACTTGAAATATCTAAGGATAATCAAAAGTGTCACTTTATTAATGTAAATCACCTTTATGAACTTCTTTAATGTCAAAAAAAAGGAATATTAAGACATTGCTGGCAACCTAGGAAGGGCACTGGGTCAAGCCAATTGTTTTACAACTGTTGTGTACTGTGTAGTAATGTATTTTAATTTATACTTTTCTAAGGATATAAGTCTTCAGGGCTTACTTGAACAGCAGTAAATTTCAATTTAACATGTAGCTTTTGTATTGCTTTTTATTCGATGAAATTTATTGGCATGTTTTTAAAGGCATCTTCTATTACTAACAACATTCTATGAAAAAAATCCATTTCCAGTGCATTATTTTAAATTAAACTATTAGGCCTACAAATAGTAAGTAGAATACTCATTTCACTGATTCTTTATATTTACTTAAGCAACATAATTATTAATTGTCTAACGACTGTCTATGTACAAATCCAATAAAAATGCATCAAAAAGACTAATTCTTATAATTAGTATAATATATTTGATTGATTAATTTTATGTATCTACTCACTCATAAATTAGTTCATTTCTGTAGTTTTTTATTGGTACATTCACTCACTTATATTTATTTTATTTACTCATTTATTTCTATTCATTCACATAACCATAAATTCAACAATTCACTCAGTAAATAATCATTCATTTTTTCCCTAACTCAGGTTTAATAATTCAGTTATAAATTCATTAATAATTAAGGTGTTTCTCATTTATTCACTTAACATAACTGAGAAAACCATTCATTTGTGATCCATTCATTCACATAAAGTAGGTACTAACTAATCCACATTAGCTAATATAATTATTTGCACACCCAACAATATTCATTAAAACTTTTTGATCACTATCTGAATGGAGTGTCAATTAAACTTTACAATTGATCAATCAGAAAAGGGCCAGCATATTCACATGTCTTGTCTGTCATTTGTGCACCTTAGTAACAGTATCCAAGGGGGCGAGACTTAGTTAGAAAGCTCCATTATCGTTTGACCTACAGCAGTCGAAATTCAATGCAGATATGTTCTGTACAGTATACATCTAATGAAGTGTACGATCAAGGAACAGATTAGAATAATTATAGACTCGATGTCTCTGGCTTCCATATCCTAAAGGCATTCAAAAATTTAGGAAGACGAGTAGTCCAAATGTCTACCATATACTGTAGCCGAGAAACGAAACACTTTTTGCACGTAAATAAAATTTGATAGAATTACAACAGTAGTTCTCCTTAAAGTTTTACATTACTTTAATAAAACGAAATATTATGTCTATATTGTTTTTCTAAAGTAATTGTATTTGTTTTATGTTGTTCATATGTATATGATCAGAGTATTACATTAACATTCAATTTCTATGCAAATAATATAAGAATATTTCCTATATTGGATGAATAAATATTACTACAACATTGTACAATTAAAAACCGAAAGGTCCACTGATTAATCTCAGATAAGAAAGTATAATACATACTCCAAGTATGGAAATACACGCCATCGTGTTGGGATTCAATATTTCGACATTAATTATGTCATCATCAGGATGATTGATGCATTGATTGGTGCATTGATTCCTGATGATGACATAATTAATGTCGAAATATTGAATCCCAACACGATGGCGTGTATTTCAATACTTGGAGTATGTATTATACTTTCTTGTACAATTAAAGTATTGTTAGATTTATGATGTTTTTCCCAACATTTCCAGGATGTTATTTCAACTCTCGCTACTATTTTATCCTTGGATGCCACTTCCCAATTTCTACAATTTGACCCCTAGACGCCATTTTAACCCTGGCTCTCATTCGGCCCCTAGCAGCCATTTTAGCTATCTGTCATAAGTAAATGCTATTCTATTGAATATCTTTTATAAAAGGGTCAACAGGAAAACCCATGTTCATATTAGGGCAACTTCTCTTATACCCATTTCCCCTATGTGCAAAAAATGTAACAACTTGTAACATGTTTCCCATGTGCAAAAAAAAAAAATGCTAGGCTCTAACAAGATTATATCTATCAAGTCTTCACACACGCATTCCTGATTTTTGAGACATCTTGTTGGTAATGCCATTACCCATTGGATTTTTTTATATATTGAATGTATTAAAAGGGATTTCAATATTAAAGTAAAATTCAAATTCATAATCACTAACTACTGTAGATTGTTAGTCTTTAAAAAAATTTCCTTGGCCAAACCTTATCTGGTACAATCATTGTACACAAATGCGTACCAAATGAAGAGTTACACCACTTCACATTTTCAAGGCAACGGGAATGAATTTTAGCAATATGATTTCTCACATTTAACAAGAAATCTATATAATAACTGTAAAGAAAATGTATGAAAATGCTTTGAAAAAAAGAGAAATGGTATTTGGATCTGCCTAAGGCATTTTGCATGCACAATGATGATCTCAAAAATTTCCAGATAAAATACTAATATTTCTTGTGAAATTTCTGAAAATTTATATGGATACACTTTCACAAGCAGATTTTTCTTGACAATTTGGCAAAATGTGGAATTGATATTATATGAAAAATGGGGTAGGGAAAAGAAAAACATTTTTAGTAAACCACTGTATGCTTAAAAACAAAACCTTTATATTAAATGTTTCTTTTTTATGTTAGTTTAATTCCATTTATTAAAACTCATCTCATAGCACCATAGTCTGTGTTGTATTGTTACTGATTTGAAGGCCTGTTTAATGTTAAGTTGATATTAAATTGATATTACTGCATGAAAAATGGGGCAGAAAAAATAATGTCTTTAGTAAACTACTGTAATTCTAAATTTAATTTTTTTTAAATCTTTATAATTAATGTTTTTCATTTGCTTGTTATTGATTTCAATTTAATTCAATTTTATTAAAACTCATCGCACAGCACGTAGTCCGTTTTGTATTTCTATTTATATGAGGGCCTGTTAATAGTTTACAAGCTTTTGCTATAGGCTACTATGATGAAATTAAGCAACTAATATGAATAGGAAATTATGCTCAAACCTTCTAAAAATGATTGTACAGAAGTTGAGAGACAACTATGCCTTTTATTATTAATTACGAACAAGTATGATGTTTGTACCTGAATATGTAACTAAATTTACTTTAGATATTCTTCGGTAAAATAATACATAATTATTCAGAAATGAGATATGAAATTCCATATACATATATAAGCTTGAAGTTCATATATCCAAACCAACGCAGGCAAGTTCAAACCTAAAATGGGTCAGACCAATATTAGGAGGACTGGAGTCTTGTTAATCTTTCTAATGAACTGATATATGGTTTGCAAAGAAAGTACGCATTGGATGTCCGATTGCGCAGACATATATAAATCTGGTTAAAGGCGATATCTCATTCAATCAATAACAAACAGTATAATTCAGGATAATTATATTTTTGACAGCCACAGAAAGATAATGGAGGCCTAAGATAAGACTATTAATAGACAATAGCAGTAACTGTATGGGTCAACATATTAATATGCACTTTCAATGAATGTTTACTATTATTAATTCTTTCCCCACTTATATTGGTTTCACTATACAAGTCAATATTACAAAGAAGCCCTTTCCTGTTTTTAAACTAATACTTTTACCATAAATGTCCACATTTTAATAATTTTAGTGTTTTAAATAAATAACTAATGTTTAATATTACACCAGAGTGCTGAGGTAAAACAATCCACATGCACATTTAATTTTACATTTAATATATCTCCAATAGGTCACAGATAACGCCACCAAAATTTTGAACATGCATTGTGGTGTTTTTACTCGTTCGACATTTAATATAGTTTTCTATATTTGTTATAATTTTATAAGAAACACTGGTATGGTTCTCCCTCCAATGTTTAGGTAGCAATATCAACTAACTGCACGGAATAGTCATTATTCGAGGAATATTATTGTTTAATAGCTAAAAAATATCATAATTGTTATTCTAAATTAATGGAGGGATTGGAATTACTCGCTGACTGATTTGATACATTATCTAGACAAAATTGCAGCAGTTCCTTATTGCAAGTCAAATAATACCATTTGTTACCAGTAGCATGAACTTTACTTTGCTTTCTTCACAAATCAAACACTGAATCAATTTAAATCTCATGTAATAAACAGCATTTTAGAAAAATTCCTCTGTAATGTATATAATTTTGCCATAGTTAAAAAGTCTATAGTTTATAAAAATAAAAATATAAATAAGATTATTATTTTTAAACTTTTATGGCTAAATTTTCTTTTTACTTTATCATTCACTGTAAATTTCTTTGTACCTCGGTACCTTCAGTACTATGCTCTTTCTTATTTATGTAAATAAACTGAATAAAACTTTTTAAAACTACGCTATTTAATCTTGAAATAATGCTCAAAATGGACATGAAAAGAAAAGAACAATTATCTTAATTTGTAAAATACTCATTGGATTTTCATAAGGGCCAAAAATGACACATATTATTAATTCAACCACAAAAATATTTGAATGAAAGTTACTCTAGTGTCAAAATTGAAAACTATAATCTATTATTATTAATTTTAATACGAAAAGTTCACATTTACTATCTTATCATGTAAAACAATACTTCCAGTTTTTTCTATTTATGGCTAGCTATGATGTAATTTGTATTATCTAACTAAAATATTAAAATGACCACAAATCCGTTGATATATAAGACAGTTGAGTGGTTGGCTGAGACGTATTGTTCCTGCTTATTGTGCTAAACACCACGGTTAGCATTGGGTTTGAATTGAAGTCTGATCACTTGGCTCCTCGAATAACCCTTATATTTTGATTCGGGCGGCTTAAAGACAATGTTTGTATCCGTATGTGGTATTGTAGTTAAGTCGGATGGCACTGCACTGCGGCTGCCGTGCAATATACCGTAGTTATTCTGGTTTACATTTTCTATAATTTATTTCAAAATGAAACTAAATTAATAAGTCAAAATTGATAAGCTTTTTTGTGCCATAAATCACAATATAACAATTCCCTACACAATGTAGCAGATCTATCTAAATACACATCTACTTGTAATATCTTTAATACAAGTTCCGTGGATCATCGTTGGTGGATTGACATTGTAGCATCGAATGAGTGACAGACTGTTCTCAGAGGACGGCTGTCGGAACTGTGAGACAGTCATGTGATCAATGATATCATCTTGGGTTGGATAAATGCCAGGTTGCTCTGGCAGCTTCAACGAGTGATTCAATGGTAGATAATTTTCTCAAGTTTTAATGGCGTACTCATTTTTGTTGAAGAGAATTATTGAGTCTGTTAAACTGTGCTAGGTAGGAAAAAGATAACAATGACAAGGATGATGATGATGTCAATATGATGATTATACAGTAATAATGATAATGATCACAATGAGGACGAAAATGATGATGATGATGACGACAATGATTAAATGATGATAATGATAATAACGATGAGGTTGATGATGATGATGATGATGATGATGATAATGATAATTATAAGCTATTGAGGAAAATGGGGATGATGATGAAGAGAGATGATGGAAATAGTTTATGATGTTATTAATGTATGAGTGTGATTATGAGATGAGTGATAACATTGTTAATGATTCATGATAATTATGATAATAGTGAAGTATGGTGATTTCCAGTATCATAATATTAAGCGTGATATTGATAATGAAGATTATGGTGAAGTCAATAAAGGTGAGCGATGACAATGATGATAATGCACCTAAAAATACTTAGGAACTAATCATTACTTAACGCTACTGTTGCCAAACCTCAAAATCTATAGGAAATTTGACGTATTATAAACATGAAGCAACCACGATGACAAGACAACATGTGACATATATTAATATATGCTGGTTATGAAATATGCATATTTAATTTAAGCCCAAAACCATTGGGTCATAATTCACTCACCCTCAGTTCAGTTTCCATCTGTTGTTTGGCCTTTGGAAATCTATCTTTGTAAAGACTGTTCATCAGAAGTACTTCAGAATCTAAACACATGCTGGAAGAACTGGGGCTAGCGCTAGAAAAGTAAAACAAACAAATTAATAAATGAATACTATATGCTTCAGCTCAATTCCTACAGTATCAACATCATTTATCATACACCACGTATCATAGCATAATACTCATTCATAGTAATTATTTATTAAACCTGAGCGGGAAAATGGTTTTCATTAAAGTGTTTAATAAAGTAATTGACACAGAAAATATAATTTAAACCTGTTTTATATGTAGCTCTCTCACTCTCAATGGTTTAAATAAGCAGGTTATTTTAAATATATTATAATAATAATAATAATAATAATAACAATAATAATAATAATAATAATAATAATAATAATAATAATAATAATAATAATAAATAATAATAATTGTCAACTTATAACCGCATATTATAGACTAACCTCTATGCGCTTTATATTATTACCCACGGTCACTGGATCAAGCACATGGAACACAACACTCATGTATTATTTTAACCAATAATAAATATCAATAATATATCATTTATAATTTTCATTATTCATTACAAAGTAAAATATTGTTAAATGTTGCCAACCATTGCTGGAACAATTGGGCATCAAAAAACAAGCATTGTATTTTATAGTCTAAAATCTCCAGCTTAAAGCTATTTCCAGTGATGTTGTAAAGATATAGAAGATTTTTGATCCATCACCAATGTAGGTTACCAACCTACGTAATTATTCAAAGGAAACCCAATAGCAAACCACTGAAGTGACCCATACAGGAAGCTATATCACTGGAGAGAAGTTTCCAGTCAAATCTAGCTGACCATCGAATATTACAGAATCATAGCATACAGTATTTTGGGAATTTACAGACAATACGGATGCTTGATTTGTGGTGGTGTTAGTGAATAATGCACTTATGTAATATTGGAAAAACAAATTAACATTGTTGCAATCGACTGGTCGTTCTTCATTAAACCATGCAGTGGTAACATCCTATTTACCGAAGACGACCAGACGAATAGAAATTGGTAAATACGCAACAAAACAACTGCATAGTTACCATGATACATGCTAGCGTAGTCAAGGTTGCTTCAGCTTGCGGTAGTTGGGTTTAATCGTAAACAAATATTATAGTATAGTTTTTGAAGTCTGTTAGCATACAATCATTTATTGACTTAATGTACAGTAGGCAAATATTATAATTAATATTTTCTGAAATTTAATCTAAATTATATTAATTTTTAATGTTTTTGCTCTATTGACCAATCCATGTTTGTTTTGGTCATATGGATAACTTATTGCTAATTAACCCACTCTGGTTTTTGGTAATTTCTGTTGTCAACGAAACAAATTTTACAAACCAGTTTTTGAAAAATATACAAAATTGATAATTAGCTATTTTTAAGCTAATTTAATTATAATGGTGCAGAAACCAGTGAATATAATTCAGCTAATCAATGTAAGGAAATGCTATACAAGTATGGCCTACTCCACAATTCTTAATTATCATGTAATGTCAAAAATTTACAAAAAACAGTATATAATTACGAGTTGAGTGGTCCAGCAGTTAGGCGGGGGCGCTATAATGGTATAAAGTAATCAGGCATTATTACCGTTCGATAATCAAGACCTTATTTCCGTCCTTGGATAAGGCACTTTACTCTCATTACCTGATCGTTCAGTCACCTGTTTTACAGCTAATATTCACGATAAACATCTCAGTATCATGATTTTGAAAAAATGTAGAGATACTGTACTACTGTGAACCGACCAACTGGTAAACGCTGCTCTGTGGCTGACGTGGGCCCACTAGACTAATACAAATTTGTTGAGTTGATGTTCAATAAAGGATCATACATTTACATTATAGTCGTAATATCGGCATTGGTTTAAGATCTTCCGTGCTTATGGGTTAATTGGTAGACTACAGCCTTTAATTCAGCACAATTGCGCTGCAAGTTAAAGGTTAATATATTACGCAAGCGCAAATAATGTTGAATACAAATTAAACATGTCAAAGTCTTAAAGGAGAAGTTTACCGATTTCATGTAATTTGATAAATGATTTAGCATAATCAGGTAAATAATCTAATTTTTGAAATTACGAATCTTGTGCGCATTTGTTACATAGACGTTCTACCCTAAAGTTGTGATGATGAGTTAGATGCAGCACTCCATCCGAGTTTAGCGACAGGCCATTGTAATGCAGAGGATCGGGATGTGGTTCTAGACAAGTTCTTTGCATTATTACTATGAACCCACCCACAGAGCATCAACCTTTTTCCTTCCACAATATCAGCTAAAATCCAAAATTTAAATTTTGTATATTAATTTGTAGTAGTTCTCATAACCATGATATGCAGTAAGACATTTAATGTACCATGCATACAAAAACCACCAAATATGTAACAGATTTTGTATTGCCTGTGTAACATAAACTGGTTTCTTGTTTGGTGCAACTGTAAACAATGCAAGGATTCTATTATTTTTAGACATTCTTTTGGTTTCATTTTACCTATTGAAAAACTATATTGTTTAATAATACTGTAAAAAAATTTTAATACTGTTACCAGGGCTATCTTAGAAAGAACAGAGCAAGCCAATAAATGGTTATTCCCTGACTATGATGAAAGTCCAGATTCAACAAACACACTGACATTCTAATGCCTTGAGAAGTTTCAAACCACACAGGCAGTGAATAATAGGATTAGAATAGAACTGATTAATAACAATGGGTTTAACTGTCAATCCAGAAACTGGTTTGCTTGCGTGAACCCATCACACGTTATCATGCACATAAGGGTCCAGTACGGACCATGACACTGCACGATGCACTTAGGATTTGAGGGCTCTTTTCTTTTTTTGCAGTCGCCGATACTGTGAGTCATCGACAGAAATTGAAAACACTCCAACTGAATCACAATTTCATCTTCTGACACAATTAATCCCTTTTCTTTCTATTCTTTTTTTTTTTTTTTTTTTTATTTAACCCAAATAACTGAATATAAGACAATACTTCTTTTTGTACTGATCTACTAATAGGATTAGTTTGTTCTTAGTCTGAGAATATTGATAAAACCTGAGTTTTTAAGCCAAATAATGACCAATTATTAAAATATATATTCTGATTCAGACACAATTAATGTCTTTTCTTTCTATTCTCCAGGCCATTTTTAAAAATTTCATTAACCTCAAATAACTCAATATAAGACAGTACTTCTTATTTTGTTCTTAATCTTGGTTTGTTCTTAATATGGACTGAGAAAGTAGATAAAACTTGAAACTTTAATCCAATTAATTACGCAAATATATATTTACGATGATTTATTATCATTCAAAATTAACTGAATTAGTTTTAATTAAATGTATTGTTGCTCGGACTCTTAGTCATTAGTTTGATATCGTTACTGACTCACAATGAATTGTCATCAAGTCAAAACAATCATTGCTCATGCATTATCATAGAGGTGGCATGCCTAGCATTGCTCATTTGCATAAAACCTGGCCAAGCATTTAAATATATCGGATGTGCAAGCAGCAAGCATATTTACTTGTATAAAGCTTGAGCATGGTGGTGCCACCTTAAACTGCTGAAGCTGGGTAGATTGCTGGAGATTTATAAAATTTGCATAAATTCACTTCTTTGTATAACATTTTATATTTTTAATGAAAAAAAATGAGTATTATCTTTATTAAAAACATTCAATTGAATATATTTTTCTGTTTTAAATAATTGAAGTGACATGCTCATGAAATGAAATATTCCTTTTGATTGAGTATTCTTTCATTCACCCATCTATACATATTGAAATGTAAATACCCTGAACTAAATATGATTGGTTGAATGAATAATTTAATATTGCACGTAGGTAGATCTGCCTTTTACTGTCAGAATGTATCCAGCTTAGCTTAAGCTGACTAAACTGGTGGTAGCTACTGTGTGTGCGCTGAACCATGGTGGTCCCCAGTTCAATTTCCATTGCTGCTCTCATTTTGTTTCAGCTGGAGGGCTGAAATGCAAGTTACGATGGTGCACCATCTTTTGGATGGGACGTTTAAGCCATTGATCCTGTGTTCATTTAGGGCCAATGCGCATGTTAAAGAACGCAGTACACTTTTCAGAAAAGAGTAGGGGATTGTCTCCCGGTGGACTGCCCAATCACCACCAGAAGGACCCTACTCACGGAAATAAGTCTTCTACAGACTTTCGTGGGTTATCCTTAGTGTTTACACCGAATAAATCCATCAATCCATCTACCCAACATGAGAATCGTACTTTGTTGCATAAAATTATGGATGTCCCTTTAAGGGCAATATAACTGTACCTCAGACTTCTAGACCTAGGTCTGATCTTTCCCTCATCTTCTTCTGGTACTGGTTCTGGTTGACTGCCAAAGTGTTCAAAGAGCAGGTTAAGATCGTCCATGGTTGGCTGCGACGGTAATTGGTTCAAGCGTTCTTGACTGGAACATGAGGACTAAAAGGCAAAACAATTAGAAACAATATTATATTAGGAATAGCTAAAAATTAAGCACTTTATTACCATCTAAAATGAAATAAAATAAATATATAAATTGGGGATTATGAAAAATATATTTGTTTTACTTAGTTGTCAATAAAATCTTTGGTAGAAGGTAAAACTAAAAATTTGAAACCTGAAGCTCTCTCTAGGTACACAGGCCAGAGTGCCTATCTCTCTTTGGCATTTGGACAAATCGTGTAAGGTCATTATTGTGTAGAATGTTCATTACTGGTTCTCCAGAAATAACATATCATTTTGTATAATAAATACCGTATCTATCTCATTTATATTTGAATTCTTTTTGGAAGGTGATAATCATAATATGAGGGCAGATATGAAAAATATAAACTATAGAATAAATATAGTACTATCAGTAAAATCATAATCTAAATTACTTCTCAATATGAGAAAGTTCATAATTTAATACGATACTGATTCATTTGATTTTCTTCGGCATTTATTATCTCATCAATTCAAATTGCGATGAGATCAGTGATATCAAAACCAAAACCCAAAAAACGATAGCTTCAAAGACAGTAATAAGGAGGAAAAAACAAGGAATGATGGGAAACCAAACAAGGAATGACGTGAAGACATACAGATACAGCTGAGCTTGGTGTGTTGGTGCCATAGCCAGATGACGGCAGAGAGTGTAATGACCACCGGCGTCCATCGGCCTGCTTCACAGAGTTAAATGCAAAATGTAATCCATGCATGGCGGATGGTCTCGGGCTATCAGCTGGACTTCCTACGAGGATTAAAAAAAAAAACATGATTAATAAGTGTGTTTTACATCAGAGATTGTCTATTATTGATTGGCTTATATACATATTCATAGAGATTTTGAGAACTTGCTGGACCACAAACTATATTACTCTACAATAAATACATCTGTAATTAATAATAATAATAACAACAATGTAGATAATCTAATAATCTAAACTAAAAAAATTAACATAGAAAAAAGCAAAATAATATCAAGTATTAATATTACTTTTAATTTACCTTAAAATATGTGTTCATGTTATCAATTATGACAAATTTTATATTCCTGGTATATACGGACTGTTGAAGATCATTGAAACAAACTAAAATATGTACCACACATTAATAATTATGCTTTTGGAAGAGGAGTGTATAGTCTTTTGAAGGCAAAATTCTAATAGATGCTAGACACACAGCACACACCTTATACATAATTTGGATCTGTACTTATATTAACATTCAGTACAGCCATATTAAAAACATTTAAACTTACAGTATTGATGTAGTAAGGCACTACTGTGACGTGTTACAATATACTGTACTACAATTTATTTTGAAAACGTGAGGTGTTCTTATTGCAATAAACTACCTGTACTCATATATTTTCCTTTTCAATTATAATACAGATATAAACACAGTTGTGTCCAGATTAATAGATTAAGAAGATAATCATTTTCAACAGTCAAATTGATTGTTTTGTTAATACTAACCTAAGAATAATGCCACATCATTAACATAACATTATCATTAACAGTACAATTCATGGGTCTTAGTTTAAATCATGAATGGCATTGGTAACTATTTCCATCTGTAATGGCAACGGTAATAATTTCCATTTTTCATGGTTTTTCAAAATAAATGTGAGGTTGTCTAGATAAAGCTCATGTGACTTTGTTCAACTGTTAGTCATTCAAAAAATCCATCAAATCAATTGATTTTTGTGCAATGTTTCTAGGAAATCGCTATTCAAACATTAGCATTGTATTACCAGGCTTTTTTTATGGCCAATGTTTAAAAATGCAAGTCATCTAAAGTAAATGATGCGATCAATCCACATACAAAGAGGCTTGACTATGACCCTAGAGCAACAAAGCTACAAAAATTATTATCGCCACTATAATGTAGGCGAGTCCCTTATAAGAAATATTATTCTAAAATTAATAACATTCTATTATACTTTCCAAATATTTATTTCAACTCAGTGATCTTTTTTTTAATCCATCATGGACATCAACTGTAGCATGGAAAAGGCATGATTACATATTTATAATACATTATGTAATACAATGACTTAAAAATCATAATTTAAATGAAAAGAATTAAGTTTAATTTGCTGGTGATTTGTAGAATACAATGTTACGCACGTTAGATGGCATTAGAAATATTATAATCCTAATTACAAGTAGATATTGATACAAAATGAAAGTTATAGCCTAAATAAGAACTAGTTTGTTGCACCATGGAGGTATTATAATACCTCCATGGTTGCACCAGGAGTTGTTATACAGTAGTGAACAACTCCCTGGTTGCACAAACAAATGAATTAGAAAAACTTAAAAGTACAAGCAAGCACTTCTTTACTGAATTACTGAGAATGTTATATAATGAAGTCAAAGGGAAGGAGAGGATTAGACATTGCCACGTAAGAAACAGCCTGCTCTCTGATTACCAAATTTCTGTCAGCGACAATTATTGTTTATCATAACGTGTATCTTTCCTTTGTTAGTGAACTGTTGATAATTGTTAATGGGATTATGAGTTCATCCTGTTGTTGATACATTCTGAGAGAAATGACAAAACTTTTAAATTCTCACTTTGTAAATCCAAATTGAACAATCATTATACAAAACATTTTTTTTTTTGGTTGAAATTTAACAATAATTGATTTATTACAAAGCATACACAGAGAACCTTCAAAGGGTCACGAAAGTGAAGGAGGCGGAAACTCTGTTATATTCAATAAAAGAAAAACAATCATTTGGTGTCCTTTTCGTGATGTCTTCTGTACAGTACATCTCTCGGTAAGTTGCTAGACTTGGCAATAGCATAGCACCAGCTGTCACATCATGAAGGGGTTGAACCATTAACCTATTATGTCCATGATTGAACCAACCAACCAACCAAAACAGAAAACCAGCCAAAACTGAATACCTCAGGTGTCCAGACCTTTAAAACAAAACTGGACAAATTTGGGAGACTGGTCCAGATGCGGGGAGAGTGGGGTTGCAGGGTTGGGGGTTGCAGGTTTGGGGGTTTCTTAATTGTATAAAGAAAAATAATTGTTGTATTGTATTGTTGACATATTATTTTCATCATTATAAAACATAGTACCGAGGGAGTGCAGTGAGAGAGCAATTTCTGGGCACCTACTGTAGGTCCTTATTCTCATGCTGCAAAATCCTGCATCCTGCCAATGGGTTTGTTTACACTCACATTTATACTAAATATATTAATTGTTTTTTTTAAAAATTAGACTATTATGTATTCTTTTTGTGACTACAGTAAATATTACAATGTACTGTAGTGCATAGGACACCACACCACCATTAATTTATATTTTTATACTGTACAGTTGTATTATTATACAACCAATCCCATTTTTTCCAGATATACAGTACGGTAAACAAATTATCATCAATTACATCGCATTACTTGAAGCCAAGTACGTGCCAAGTTTGACAGCTAAAACACAATGGCCGTGTTTAGATGATTTAATCATGCCATTCGCTAAGCCATTCGGCAACAATTCATTTTAAATTATTTTATATCTTTTATAATTTGTTTTTTATGTTCTGTTATTATAATTATGTTGTTTAAAGATATGCATGGCAAGTAATAATATACTTAATACTTGCGGAACACCACGTAGATGGTTCTGAAAAGAACGGTTGTTTGTCAAAAATGTCTCAATATTTCGATTGACTTACTTGAATCGTCTTAAATAATATATGCAGAGAATGCAAACAGAGAAATTCTAAACAGGAAAACAGGGTTTTGATACAGAAACTTGCTGCTGATTGGTGGAAAACTAAACAATAACTAATTATGCTAGTTTTAAAGATGCTTTTTAAAACTACAAATATGAAATATAACCAAAACTGTTACAATATAGTCATAAGAATTAATTTCTCATTATCTATATCTACTTTTACAAAAAAAAAATGTTTTTGAATTTCACATATGTAAAAGCTGTTACAATACCATTGGCAATAAAACTGCAGAATTTTTTAAAATAAATTAAATTTGTAAAAAAATGTCTTGTAGTCATAAGGACGTTGTAATAATTGGTTTTGTAAATTGTGTGATTTGTTGCATTAACTGGATAACCAGAGGGAATTTGGAGAGGAAAAGGATATTACAGAGCCAAGCCTAAGTCTTTCAACAGAAAAAATAGATGTAAATTTACTGTTGCATTGAGCACACAGAATATTAAGGTAGTAAGAAATACAGAGCAATAATGATAAAATGCTCATTTAAACATAAAAAAATACATATATATTTGTTATTTGAATTTCATGTATGCATGTTGGTTTTGTACACTGGAGAATGGCTGCTTGCAGATGGGTTTCCATACAATCGTTACATCGTCGGTACAGTGTTTTCAGTGCAATCCTTGTACTGGGCATAATGTTGCCCAATTTGAACGACCAAACTGCATCACTGAAAGCTGTCGGCGATAACGTGTAGCGATTGTATGGAAACCAAGCTTACAGTATGTCAGCAAAGTGAGTTGGGTTGTTCTACAATTTTATAACAATAAAATCACTTTCCTAATTTCTGTTCATACACCAAAGAATAAAGGAAGTTAAATTTTAAAAAATAATATGATAAATAGTAATCCATACACTTTACAACAGTTCATAAAATCTAGATTTTACTCCTTTTATTTTAAATTCTCCATGTGTATCTAGCGATGAAAGCTAGTATGAAAGCGACACTGTTCCAACGCTGGTTGTTAAACCACAATAAATATTTATAATACTAATAAGGCTTGAGCTAATCACATACAATTACTTTTGGTTTAGTTAAACTTCATTTTCAAACACTTGGGATCCTAAGGAAAAAATAGTTGTACAAAATGCCAGGCCATTACATTACTTACAAATATTTTCTATTAATAATGAAAACGTGCTTGCGGCAGCACCCTATAAACATATTGTTGAGCAAAAACAAGGTCAATGAGTGATGCCAGCTTATGGCCTAATGGTCTAGACACGTGAATTAATACCAATAACCATCGACTATAATTCTGTATCTTTGCAATTAACAACATATTGCACATCGAAAAAGAAAAACAATCCTCGCTGAAGTGCTCCAGTGATGTAAATGTATACATTGTTCGCAATTTATCTCGTTTTCAATGATCATTAATCAAGATTTTTGCAAGATCAATAACATTTTCAGCCTGTCTGAGCTAATTGTTATTGCCTCTGCTTTTATCAGCCTACGGATAAGACATCTTATAAACACACCTTTATGTTAGGGTCTCATTTTTATTTACGTAAACTCATCACCTATATTGAGCTTACGTCAAATGTTCAGCATCAGAAATATATGGCTGTAATTATCCCATAAGAAGAGGTGCAATTCAATACTATAACTATTAGTGAATGGACATCAGGGTGCTTTATAGCTTCTACCCCTTGGGCTTACCAATATCATCATCCAAATTAATTGTTTTTTATTTAAGGAGTTTAGATCAACATTCAACTTCTTCAAGGCTGCTCCAATGGATGTGGAATGGTTTTGAATATCTGAAGGAAGAAAAAAAAATGCTAAAGCTCCTATGAGCCTAGATTGTGATGTAATAACCAGCAGTTAAATTTGTTACAATGCATAACAATGTCTATGCACAACAGACACTATCTGTGATCCCAAGCTACACATAATGATCACATGATTTTTATTAAAGTACAATATATTGAGTGTAGAATGCAATGTGCTATGAAGTGATAACAAGAATTCAACTATTGTGTGCA